TAAGTTGCAAAAAAACAAACATAAATTGCAAAAAACCAAAGAAACTTATAGTATCTTTCATTTACAAAAAAATAATTAAACATTTAAATAAAAAAGATAACAAATGAGATCACGCCTGTTAAAAACCGTTAATACTTTTGTCAAAAGCATAAAAAAGCCGCTATCCTTTCATTTTTAAGTTAGGGGCTGATATGTTTTCTATGATCTGGTCCCATCTGATGAAACAAATATCATTGTCATCAGTTCTGAAATTTATCCTACTATCATCACAGATTTTGCAGAAAATGACCTGGACTTCATCTTCTTCGACTCCTGTACATATAGCTACGTAACGATATTCTGTGCTTTTATGAAAAATTTTCACCAATGTAAAATCGCCACTTTGAATTCTTTTATCCCCAGATGTTGAGAGTTGTGGTTCGTCTTCAAACTGACTTTTCCCTTCAGAAACTGATTCGTCAAAAAGCGAAGAAGATATTTGAAGTTGCTTCATTTTTATAAGACATTAGTGACACGCAAATAGTTTCACATGGTTCGTCTTCAGATTCAGTTTCAGGCCCAAACACATCATCAGTTTCGGTTTCGCATTAATGATTACTAAATATAAAGTACCGAGCACAAAATGATTGCAGACATAAAAAAACATGAAAGGCTTATTTAAACATTTCTAAAATCAAACAAGTTCCCCTTTTTTATTCGCGGCCGTCGCTTATATCCCACTTCTGTATCTACCCTGGACTTATGATCTCTCCCCTGGCATCTAATGAGCCAGGGGAAATACGGCAGGGGAGAGAAATTTTCGCTAAAAAAACGAACACAATTCTTATTTTCACTAATTTTGTTAAATAAGCTAAAATTTATTGTGTTGTATTATTTTATTTAAAAAGGTTGTTGTTTAGTGGAAGATGAGAAATGGGAAAGGCAATCAAGCGATGTATACATACATGGAAAGCCAAAGGAAAACTGATCGAATAGTTAAAAAAAAAAGGGATAAGTACATTTAACGGAACGTGTGAGGGATAAGTCAGTTCTAAATTACGTCCTGCTTAATGGAAGGGAGTAGGAAGCAAATTTCAAATTTAAAAATTCGGAGTTAAAAAAATGATAGGCTCGGGCCACCTAATACCATTAGAAATTGTGTAAAAGTAGAAAAAAAGGAAAGAGGAAGTGAAGAAGTACACAAGGAAGTGTTTGACTGGGACAAGGGGGCAGTAAGAGAGTGTAGGAAGAGAGTAGAAGAAACGGTTGAAAAGATTCAGGATTGGAAAAATTAATATAACGAAAGAAAATGTAGAACCGTTAGGATAATAAAAGTAACCATTAGGAGTAAAGAATGATGGAACGAGGGTTGTTGGAGGAAAAGAAAGGAATATGAAAATGCTCGAGTTTTAAAAAAATTCGAATAAGTATCGGCTATTGGCAGAAAGAAGTAGAAGTGCGTGTCCAGCCAGTCTTCGAGTTGAAGCCTTCGTGATGATGACCAACATTTATACTGATCAACATTGCAGCGAAATATAATTTATTAAATCTCCTTCTTTTACTATTAAGGAAACCCTCCTTTACGATTTTACCTAAAGACACAAACGAATTTTCCCCATCAATTTTTTATAACTTTAGTATCATAAAAACTTCCACCGCTCCATAAATAAACCAACGGCAATTTGGAGTGACGCCAAGATAATTGTGTATACATACATCTGTACTTTACATATTCATTATTGCATTTTCGTTCAAACGTAATCTTCCAGAGACCATTCTATTACATACATCATTAAATCTCATATATAATAGCTTATGATAACACTTAAAATTTATATAACACCAAAAGTTTCGTGATGAAGTCACCGTGGGATGAAACAATTATTGTGTTCATACAATAAATTTTCTTGAAGCTTTTGGTGTTTTAATTCAATAAAATATATTATGGATAAGATAACAACTTTTAGCATCAAGAAAAATATGGCACTGATTCAAGGCGTTATTATTACGCTACACAGTAGTACTTAAACTAACTGATCGGAAAGAAAAACGTCATCAAATGATGTAATTAAACGCTATTTCTTTATTCGCACTACGGAATGTATGAATTAAAATAATCTGTACGTGTCTGTCCATGGTTACTCTGTCGTTTCCGAATATCCATAACTAAAATAAATAACAAGTGATTGTTGTATTCTTAAAATCGACTCAACTCTATGCTATTCTTTGTTCTATGTCTAACGCTTTTTCCATCTGACTTCCTAGATATCAAAAATGGGCGAATTCCTCCACTTTTTCGTCTTTGATTTCTTTATTATTTCTAGCCCTATTTTCACCGCTCTTACACACCAACACTTTTGTCTTTGCTTTTATTTATTTTCATTCCATACTCTTGTGTCAATACCGCTTTCATTTTATTTAAGGCATCCTTTAATGCCTCCCTACCAGATTTCAATAGTGTTGTATAGGGCGTAACAGATATAAGAGCCGAGTTTCCAGAAGATAAAATATGAAAACTAAGTTTGTATGATCTAAAGTTCATTGTTTCAAGAAGAAAGTAGTTGGAAGTATAGGAAAATTCAATTCCGGCCCTGGAAGAGAAATACGTCCCGCAACGCTACACTCAATCAGCTGGTGATTACCAGCATCAGTGTAGCATATGTTTTATATGTTTTGCTCATGTATTGTTTATTAGATAGATTAGATTAAGTGTGGTTTAGAGTATTTATGTTAATAGCCAACCTCTAGTAGGCGTTTATTCTTTTAATATTTAAACCATGTATAAGGCAATCGATATGCAGATCAATAAACTAATTCAGCAATACAACATCAATTATACGTGTAGGTAAATATGTCACCGTAGAACAGTTGTTCTCGCAATAATGTGATGGTACTTATTTGCGGGTTGGAACTGTAACACCCCTGGAAGGGAAAATGTGGCAAATTTTAAAAGAACAGTTGCTGCATCCTTGTTATTTGCAGCGAGTACAAGCCTTGCTTGAAACTGATTTTCAACCGCGAGTGGTGTTCTTGTAATATATACAACACATTCGATTTGCATGAATTATTTTACTGCACGATTAGATTTATCATAGGGCATCGAAGCAATGAGAACTGAGAGAACAGAAAACACTTTTTGGTATAGTTTTGATCATATGTCAAAATAATTAAAAAGATTGTTAACAATTTGTGCCAGTGCATGTCACAAATATTGGATACATCGGAGACAGTTGGTTCTCTGGGAGAAATCAATCGATTCCATTTTACGTGCCAAACAAAACGTAAAACACGAACTGCCATCGTCATCAGTCATTATTATTACGTATACAAATTCATATACAAGTATATTATGTATAAGTTACATTCTTCAACCACGCGATATTGTGCCAATCCAGTTTGGAACATTTTGCAAGGCCAAGGCCAAATGATGACTCAGCGCCCGCAACATTTAATTCATAAATCAATCAAATGCTTCACGCTTTTCACGACTTGTAACCGCGATCCTAAATTATAAATGCTTTTTTAAAATACATATGTATTGCATACCGAATTACCCATTATCATGATAGATGGCTAACAATTTGAAATAAACCAAACCACACTTTACAATTTTGGACTAAACAAATGTATGTAGTTCACTGGTCCAGCTATTTTAGGAAGAAAGTAGCCTGTGAGACCAAATTTTTTTTATGTACAATTATATAACAAACATTCATTCAATTAAATTGCTCAAAACTTCACTTATATCAATGCATCTTTCGTTCTAATGGTCTGCATCTCTACACTGAAAGTGAATAATATTGTTACGTGCAAGCATGTACGTGATAATCATTACATTGATTCCCGCCGGTTCTTGAACATGCCCGTAGGCAGGGACCGATACAGCAGTTGGAATCTTATTAAAATACCTGTAATTATTAAGTTATAGATGTAAATATTTTTAGCTTTAAACTATTCAAGGATAATCATCGACATCTTAATCAAAATCGTATCAAAATCGGTTAAAAGATTTTCGAGTTTTGATCATTTTGTAAAAACCGCTTCAGTAAATGAATTAAAAATTGGTAACACACTAAAGGAAATACTTCAGGCTTGAGAACATTAATACCTAATTTAATATTTAAATTACGTAACGCAAAATTCATCAATTTTTGACATTCCTCTCCCACCACCTAACGTAGTGCATGACCTGACCCTCTCTGAACTTTTTAATCAGTAATAACATTAGGTTGATCCAAACAAAATCAATATTTTCTTTACTTTGGTCCCGCATGGAAATAATAATAAAAACGTTTGACTGATCACTGAAGACTTAAAAATTTCTAAACCAATTCAAAATCCACTTTTTGTAGTCATATTATTATTGTCTATGTTTGATATAATAATCTTAAAAATTCAAATCGATGGGATTAATTTACAAAAGTCTGTCAATTTTTTTTTTTTAATTTTATGGAATATACATTGTACATTGTGTTTTCGAGTGACCGTAAATACGTATAAATAAATATTAAGAAGTTTTTTATAGACATTTTTTAAAATTAATAATTGTCTTCGTAGTTTTTCTGCGTGCCTCGTTCTTCATTTCCATTTTTCAAGAAAATAATTGTTAATTTGTATTTACATTAATTTGAAAATTAAAAAAAAGTGCCTTGACATAGATTTGAAATATCCTTGATATCCTGCAGGATTAGAAAAAAATATCCGTTTTTTTTAAGGGCACCCTAATACATACCCATGTATATTTTGTACTTACCTAATTCAGACAGTTATACAATAAGATACATTTGTTTTTTCCTCAAGAAGTAATGCATCAACTGTAGACAGCGGTTTTTAAAAAACTTTCACGCCCATAAGTCTTGAGAAATAACTAGTGTCTACCCAATGTATATAATTTAAACAAATTACGCAAATAACTCTCCTCAGTACTCATGTTGTATAGATACACCGAGTCCAACCTTGAACACCATAACACCAGCATATTTTTCTTCGATAATACGTATGTGTAGTACAATAATGTCTACTTAAAGGAATAATTACAATAGTTATTAAGAAACATGCAGAGATATATTGTTATAGGTAGTACAGTTGGTTGCAGTAGCAAATCTGAGGCGCTGTAACCTCTCCCCTTTTACCAAAATAAATTCAGTTTGGGCAACTTAGGAATCTATTGTTATTTTCTAATATTGCAAATAAAAGTTCAAGAAAAATAAAAATACCTGAATTAACTTACAAACCATAAATATAGTAAAAATTTACTTATCAAATCACTTGGTGAGTAAAAACGGAGCTCATCATAAGGTTGTCAGTCCTAAGACAGGTTGGACACGCTTTTCTATACTATACTTATTAGGAGAATGAGTTTACGTCATTACACCATATGAATCAATCCAAGAACTAATATTTACAACGCACTGAACTTTTTGGTGACGATCCTAGTCTATTATCAATTTTTTACAACTCACTGTGTATAACACGACGACATACCAATTATTCCCACACGATCAGTTTGAAAACTCAGAAAGCCTTTACTGAACCCCCAAAAAATTATAAACCTACACCTGATTACTTTGTATCTATCATCTCTTTTCATTTTATCTGTAATGACTACAGTCCCAAGTGAAAATAAGAAAGAAGAACGTTCCAACTATATACATTTAATAGTAAAGTTTTTGTACACTAATATTTTTTGCTTCGCCAGCAACGGCACGAGACGATAATTACTGTAGTTCAAGCCGCATGAGTCATACGAGTTTTTATGGCTATTATTATTATTATTATTTAAATACCTACTGAAATTAAATGCATTTAAATGGATTGAAAGACTGAAGCTTACCGTATTGTCCTTGGACTTTGCCGCTCGCAAGAACTTGGCCAGAGCGTGCACCTTATACGATAGGTACAGCTTTTTGTCCTTCAGGAGCAAGAATGCTTTTCCCCAAACTTGTTTTTTAGCGTCGCGGACCCATATAGGCGAACACACAATTGGGCATTTGCCCTCCTCCACTATCAAGTGCTGTAACAAAAACAGAAATTAACTACAATTTTTACATTTAAAATAATTATTAAAAATTAAAGGATGTTCAAAAGTTCAGGATTCTTAATTGGTGTTTAACTATCCATCGTCACAAGAGACAATATACGGTGCAAACCCGGGATTCTAAACTATCAAAAGAAAAACTTGAAATAGTGGTTAGTATTCTGTCGCGATGTCTACCTTATTGAGTCTCATCAATATGTCATGGACAATCAACTTCAACATTTCAAAAAAAACATTTTGTGAAATTCATAAAAGTCCATAAGAATACCAACTTGTCTAACTAAAACCACGTCGTAGCTACCCCTACAGCTTTGACACGTACCTAAACAGAACAAAAAGTTCATAGTTCAAATATGTAGGTTATGTACTTCACAAAATGTAGCTTTTTACAGATGGCGTGCACTACGCTGTTTGTATCTAATAAGAAATAACGTTAACTAGAGGTAATTGAGAATCTCATGGGCCATGGCTTTGAGTTACGTTCCGGCCGCTCATTGATTTCTACAATTTTACCACTTGCTGAAAACATTGCCCGACATTGTTTGAAGTTTATCTAAAGTTGTGTAGCAAGGCTCAAAAAGTTTTGAAAATGGCCCCAGTTACGGCTGCCTTTAGCGTATTTTGTGGCCCACGAGATTTTAAAATACCTTCACCATTCAATTTTTTTTTTGGTAGTAACTGAAACAGTTGTTAGAGAGCACATTAATAAAATCAAAACTATTGCGCGTTTTTAGATAATTCATTTTAATTTTTTTAAGGAATACAGTTTTTTTATGATATGGAGAATATTTTCTTAAATCCATGAAGTTTTATGCACATATAGCAAAATTTGTAATGAACTTGATGAAAAATTACAGAGCGTCCTAATTAGAAAACGTTTTCCTGCATCGTTCTCCAAATGCCAGAGATTAAAATAATCACTAATTAATAATAAAAAGCATTAATCAATCTGTCGAAACCACCAATGTGGTTAGTATTCTTCGGCATGTAGTTTTAATAAACCAACGAGTAAACCGTTGTTGCTCAACGCAAGAATGATGATTAATATCAAACTTATTTGATAATTATCGGAAACGTTATTATTAATTAGCTATAATAAATCAAATAAAAGGCACTGCCGACCATAAATGTCTCACTCTCTTCTTCTTACTGAATACAATTCATTTTTCATAATTAAATATTAAAATTAATTTTTGGAAATATTGTGTTATTTTTCTTGTAATGAACATAATTATCATATCAACAGCATTCTCGTCATGATAATTTTTACTGATAGTTATCCTTTCAAGCGTGACTGGCACCACTTTAACAATAGTCCGTCAGAGTTTTGAATACTAAAATCAGCAATTAAATAAAAATTTATAAAATAATCTAATTTACCCCTTAAGATCCTATATCTAGACAAATGAGATAACGTTAGGTAGTAAACATTCCTATTTAAAAATATACTAATATAACAAACGAGCCAGGGGTCATGTTGATAGAAAATGAAGAAAAGGCAGAAAGGTAGAAAGAATATTTAGAGAACCTGTACACAGCCCAAGAGTGCGGAGATATATTAGAGAAGGAAGACAGTGTGGAGATAAGTTAAAAAACTTGAACAATAATAAGGTACCAGGTATAGATGGGAAGCAGACGGAAATCTTAAAACATACAGCAGAAGAGACTAGAGAACGTATCTTTAGACTAGTTATTCACATTTAAGACATGGGAAAGTCCTAGAGGACTATAAACGGAAAGTGGTAGTTATCATACCTCAAAAGAGAGGTGCGACTTCCCATATGTCAAAAATCTTAACTAGAATTGTACAGAGGAAGATGGAAAAAAGGTCGAAAGAACTATTACAGAAAGATCAATTTAGGTTTAGAAGAAATAGAAGAAGGCTATTTTAGCTTTACGTGTAACAATAGAGAAAATGATAAAAAAGGAATAAGGGCGTACAAAGGATTTATACTATAGATTTAGAAAAAGGTTTTGACAATGTTAAATTGGACAAGATGTTAAATATACTTACAAATGTAGGGATGGTTACAGAGATATAAGAGTGATACTTAGTCTGTATAAGTAGAAATAGATATACAGGGGCAAAATATTAGTATAGTTAAATTTGCAGATGATGTAGTAGTATTAGCATCTAACAAGGAGGAGTTATAAATAAAATGGAAGCGATATTGACAAAACAATATTGTATAAAAATAAATAAAACTAAAACAAAAAAAAAATAATGGTACATCACCATCAGAAGGTCGTCAGTCCTAAGACTGGTTGGACACGCAACTCTACTCTTTCCTATCCTGAGATAATTTTCGCATTTCCCTAAAACAAGAACAACCCACATCGTTAACTATTTGTGAACAGTAATCTAATCTAGGTCTACCTCTACCCCTCCTAACTCCCGTTTCTGCCTCTAATATGTCTCTGACTAGACTTCATCCCTGAGAAGGTGTCCTACCAACCTATCTCGCCTATTTCTTATTGACTTTCATAGAGTCCTCTGTTCTCTTTCTTTTTCTAATACTTTCTAACCTTCTCTATCCACGGTATCCTCATCATTCGCCTGTAACACCACATTTCGAACGCTTCTTACCTTTTCTTTTTCGTCGCGTCCACCGTCCTTGTTTCGCTTTGGTACGTAAGGAAAGAAAAAGTAGGGAAAGAATGAATATTAAAATAACTATCTAGTGCATCTCTCGTGTTAACTATCGATTAGTTTAAAATTAATTGTAACTTTATCATAAATTAAATTTCGGTCGCACCGCTTTAGAGAACACACAATTCTGCATCATTCCCTGTTTAGTCGGCTCTATCTCTATCTTTATTATTAATAAAAATCCGGTATACCTACCTAATAACCAACGCCCATATAATAGGCACTTTAATTAAAACTTACTATGCAATAGTATCATTACTATAACCATATCCGGTCAATATACAGTTTACGACCATTGTGCTATTTCTTACAGGAATTTCATTAACCTTAAGTACGTTAAGTATACTGGAATACCGTTCAAATTATAGACTTAACTAACTAGAGTATCTGCACTGCTATTTTACTTTATTACTGCTATTATATTTTGTCAATAGAATGATTAAAAAAATATTATTATCGCGTCACAATGTGCAACATAATTTTTAATCTTAATTAGAGCCGTTCTCAGGTCAATTTTATTTCCAATTTTATTTCGTCACCTTTTTCCCATTGTTTGGAAATTATACCTAAATGGCAGCAACAGAAATTAATACAATACCATACGATTGCATTACTGTTGTTGCTTTGTTACTGGCGTTGCCGGGTAATTGAACATAGGAGTAATTACACTTGGTGGTGTGCTGTATACCCATACTACACTATGAAGTGCATGTATACAATGTCTGTATGTGTATCGTAGTATTAAATCGGTCAGCCAACTCGCACGCATTTTCTTGGAAACAAAGTTATCAAGTGTTTCATTATCCGTTCTTTCCCAAGTTCTCCTCTAATTGGCTAGAATAAGGTTAATTGTTTAATGTTTCACAGTTTTTACCAAAAGTAAATAAAATGACAATTTCCTGTATCACTTTTGAATGTATTATAGCGCCGTCAGTCAGAGTATCGCCTATTGGATCCCTCCCACCCTTTCATCATAACTACCTTACCAAATATTACGTTACAAATGCTAGCCCCCTCCCTGTAAACGATTTACCTATAATTAAATAAACAGCAATGAAAATATAGGAAAATACAAAATCCCCACAGTTTGTTCATTAAAGAGTTTCATTTCAAATATAACAAAAATTGCACATTCCAGCGCGGAAATGTTGCTCTATTATGTAAGGTTAGTTCCGGCATTTTAAGTACGACTAGACTAGAGACGCCAAAAATTGGTAAATTTTATTGATTTCAGCATAGAAAGTGAGGGGAATCAATGGAGCAAGTGTAATAAGCATTAAAACAAAAATATAAAGTTCGAATCGAAAAATGTTTCCCATGATAATTTGCCACTAACTAATCGTTAAATAGTTGTGAAAGAAACAAATTTGTGTTATTTTTAAAAAATATTGTTAAAGGTGTATGTATGGAGCGCGGCGCTGTACGCGTGCGAAGCATGGACGGCGGACGCAGGGGGAAAGAACAGGTTAGAAGCGTTCAAAATGTTGTGTTACCGGCGAATGATAAGGGTACAGTGAAAAGAGAAGGTTAGAATTGAAGAGGTATTACAAAGAATAGCAGAACAGAGGACTCTATGGAAGTCAATAAGAAATAGGCGAGATAGGTTGGTAGGACATCTTCTCAAGCATGAAGGGCTAGTCAGAGACATATTAGAGGCAGAAACAGGAGCTAAAAAGAGTACAGGTAGACCTAGAATAGATTAGTGTTCGCAAATAGTTAAGGATGTGGGATGTTCTGTTTTTAGCGAAATGCGAAGATTAGCTCATCAGGATAGGAAAGACTGAAGGTGCGTGTCCAGAGCTATTCTTAGGACTGACGAACTTATGATGATGATGTTAATCACCTAAGGCGTTTGTTATAAAAAAAATTAATTAATTAATTGATTTGCCATAATACAATGGCATTGCGCGAAATTGCAATAAATGAAGTCTTACCACTTCTTCGAGGGGCTGTTTTGCTGCGAATTCCCAAAAAGTCACTGCATTTGTGAATAGATCAGAAAATTTCATTGTGGAAAATTCCCCAGGTCTACAACCAATTCCCCAGGGGTGAACAGCTAGTTCATAAGTAACACGAGTAATTGGGGCACGATAAATAAAGTCTTACTGCCTTCCAAGGGTGTTTTGCTGAGAATCCCCAAAATATCACTTCTCTTGCGTATAAGTTTATTATTAAATTTTATTGCAAAAAGTTCTCAAAGTCTAGAACCAATTCTAACAGAATAAACAGCAAATTCTCAGGAATAATTTGCGCTTGGTAAATGAAGTTACAGCAAAACGCCCCTAGGAGGGGGTAAAACCTCATCGCATGCGAATTTCTCGAATTG